AGAGAGAAGATTTGCGGCATGCGTGACGTGTTGAGGCGAGTCAAAATCAGGGTCAATCAGGGTACCTTGGAGACTGCCCGTGCGAAAATACCGTCTCCCACATGTTGGCCACACATGCGCAAATCAGAGACACAGTCCAAGGGTAGCAGCAAAATGTGGGAGGGGCGATAGTTGGCATGCTAATTACGGGTTGCTTATTGCTTACTATTATGCTTACTACACTCACTGCTTGGTAGGGCCTTTAGGTTATGCTTCTGGATGTACGGAGATTGATCAAGAGGAAGGTACATACATGGTGTCCCAAAAAATGTTAACACTGTTCAATCGTTAATAACTCCCTTGCTTTCATGTATTCCGCCAAGCTTGAGGCATCATTCTGTAGAGCGAGGTTCAACTTAAATTCATGGTATAGAGCGAATCACCGTTCGCTCTTCGTTACTGTAGGATTACGGTAGGAAATTTGACAACGATTTTAGGCCATTAAAGGCCATTTTCTGCCTCGAAGCAAAGCCAAACAAGCCAAAAACTCTTGTATTATGATAATGGAAGCCGCTGACTTCGCATATAAGACTTTCATTTTATTACGATGATTCTTTAAAGTTATCCGAGGTAAAACGTAATGAATGACTTTTCAGCATGTGTTAAAAATGTGATTACACCGTCAAAAAAGCTAAAAACACTCGTAAAAAGTTATGTAGTGGAATCAGCGTGCGCGAAAACCATGGCATACGATTTTTCATTTTTTTGAAAAAAATTTTGTCAAGTGGCACATTTCACAACGATTCCACGTGCTGGAAGTTCTTACCGCAATCTTACAGTAACGAAGAGCAAACGGCTCTATACTATATGTTGAACCTCGCTTTACAGAATGGTGCCTCATGCTTGGTGAAAGACGTGGAAGCAAGGGAGTTACTAACGACCAAACAGTGTTAACATTTTTTTTGGGACATCCTGTATTTGAAAGTTATGTGCGACTCCTGTTGCTTTTGTCGCATGAAACCGCTTCTATCACTGAAGGACATGGAATACTATACTTAGTAGTCTTCAAGCTTGCCTTAAGACTTGCAGACCAATAACCAATCTTTCCAATCTGACTCTGCACCTTCCCTCTTTATTTTGATTTCAGTTACCAGTTACTTGCCAGTGCTTGCTCTACACGCATTCAGACTTGCAACCCTAGCCTCGGCTCCGATTGGGCTGCATCCAAAGACGACGTGCTTTCAACACATTTCGAAGTTATAAAATAGTGAATTCAGATATAAATGTTTTATTGATGATTTTGATTGTTTCAACCCAGCCCCGGACATTGATGATTTTACTTCAAGTTTTTGCATCTGTGAACTAGCGATGTATGTCAAGTCAGACAGCTGTAAAACTTTTCCCATCTTCCTTGCTTAAAATCAATATCCTTTCAAGTGAATTGCTGCTTCTGAAGCCAGTGATGGTATAGTTCGTGTACGATCAGCTTTATGCGTACGTGTTCAGCACTGATCTGGTACTTCGCCGGAGGCCTGAAAAGAAGCGTTTGGATTACGACTACATACGTGCATAGCTTTTGAAGCTCATGCATGCATGTCCAATCTTGCTCAAACAAAGTGCGACAAGGGTGAATAATGAGCAATCGTTGCAATTCGAATTCGAAGAGTTATGTCGATGCTTAAAAGCTTAGAAGGCCAGAGCAGATCGCTCGTCTTCAAGCTTACGTATGTAGTATCATGAAATTTACGTGAGGTGGAGAGTAAATTTCTGCTTCACAGTGTACCCCACCTCTATAAGAAGTACTTTGATACTTATAAGAAGGGAATCATTTGATGCACACCACGTGTGCTTTGCGAAGCTACCTTTGAGAAGCTAGCTGGTATAGTGTGGACCCCGTTTCCTATAGATATCTCCGCGGCGCACCGCAGCGTGTAACCTTTTTGGTGCTCCTCGCCTCACTCATGAGCAGTAGAGCATATGTAGGCGCACATAGGAAAGAACTGAAATGTGAAAACCTCTAGATTTACTTCGAAAAAACTCTTACATGATTGAAACTCTTGCAACCTCCTCAGTATCTCAAAGCCAATCAATGGATGCAAATCTCGAACTTGCACTGACAAATGAGAGTAATAAGCATGCTTAGCAGGGAACTATACTTGGTTACCCCGGCCATTCATAATGGTTTGTACATCAAAAAATGCATCTTTTAACGCTCTTTCGAACACCATTTTCCATATCTGCGAAAAGATAACCTGGGTGGAATTATGAGTATTTTTTCAAAATTAAATTGCGCTATTGCGGAGGATGAAAATGATTAATAGAAATTTTTCTTTCCTCTTCAAATGCTGAATATGGTTCAAATAGGTATATATATATATACAACGGTATGTAGTCGTCCTCACTCCACTAGCCGGTCGGTGGACGATTTCAAATTTGAATTGGAGCAGGCCTGTCGCGGAACCCCTCCTCCGTATGATTTTGCGTATTTCTTCATCGTTTCCATTGGTCGTTACGCTAGTCTCTATACTATGTATAAGTGTGTTTGTTGAAAGTGACAATTTTTTTGTTGCCGGAAGTTGTTTCGTGTTGCCAAGTTCGTTTCTTCAACTCTAATTACAGGTAAGCATAAAGAAACAATACAGATGGTGAACTTATGCTGTGAACCCTTTCTTAGTAAGTAAAATATGCAGGTGTTGCTCCAGTGGATTATATGTCCCAAATCTGCCATCTGCATTGCTTCCAAAAGCTCATTCAAAGAAAATACGAGCATAGCGGCAGGAGACAACGCTCAACAAAAACTCAAATTATGTCAAAAACTTTGTAACAATAAAAAAACAATACAAAAACTTTTGAGTAATGGCGAAGAAAAACGCAAAGTGAATGCTTGGATTTGAACAGAGAGCTAAGTTGCCGTGCTCTGCCGCGACCTTCCTGCTCCAGTTTTCGAATTCGAAATTGTCACCAACCGACTAGTGGGGTGAGGACGACTATACCTTTCAAAATTCTCCTCAATCGCTTTATAAGGTAAAATAGATCAAATTGGGTGATTTTAACTACCTAAAAGCACGCAAATTTTCCACGAAAAAAGTTCGTAACTGCCTTCAAATGATAGTTTCGCAGATTTCAAGCTCAGATTTAAAATCAGCGTTTCGAGGTGCACTTTATGGTATACATCGTATTCCAACTGGCCGGGGCACCAAGTATCGTTTCCTTGTTAGATCGAAGAAAGAACAACAGCATTCTCGAAACGTTTCTCTTCATAGACGTAGGAACTAGAATAAATAGTAAAAAATTTCAAAAAACGTTGACATCTCTGCAAACAAATCCCACTGTTCCAAGCGTTGAAAATCACTCATCAACGCGATGAAGCAGCCTTTTCGTGCGCGACTTGCGCGACTTGCGCATTTAAGCGCAGTTTCTCGTTCTTATTAACTCCAAGAGCTTTCCTGAACTTCTAACACTCCATTGTAGTTTGAAAGGAGGTTAAGTAAGATGGCTTTTTTATATTCTGTGGAAATTCACACGAAAACCTCGTTTGTAGCACAAAAAAGGCTATAAAAAGGAATATTTCTGTTTGTATTTCAAAGGCATTATTATTATCTATACTTGCTTCATTCATTTGGAGTTGTTCATGATCATATCGATATCAGAGTAAAAATAGAAGTCATTTGGAGCAAACCGAATGACTTCTGTTTTTGTAGGTGAAGGATGTGTTCTCTCATGACCCTCGAAGTGAAGGTTATCAGACAAGGCTCTATGTATCGAGGGTATGAGCCAGACTGCGCGAGTACATGGCATACGCACAGCTGCGTAAAGATATGGCGCGTACGCTACTTATGTCGCGTGCGCCGCGTACATACGCAGCGCAGTCTGCCTCAAACCACGTACAGTTACGATAAGATCTCAATTTGAAAGGTACTCAGTCAGTAAAAAAGAGGCGAAAATGACGTATTGAGTGTGAGACTACGAGAAGTAAAAACTATCAGTTTGTTCGCAGACATGGACCCATCGCATCAGTAGGCGTTCCTGGGCTGCTTTCCTAAAATTGCAATGGTAAAGAGAGATATTCTGGGGATTACAAGGAAGAATTCAGTCAACCAATAGAACTTAATTTTGCAGGTTCTTTGAGATCAAACTCACATTTTGTTCAAATCGCGAATTCGTGCGAGTATCTGGCTTCTTGCAATGGAGTCCTGCAATCAATGAAGAATTGTCTGGACACTTTTGTTCAAACAAAAGAGTATACATTTTTTGTAGAAACAATCGAGTTTGGAACATTGTGGTGATTGATGATCAGGTATCGTTCGCTGCAAAAACGCAGTTTTACAATTTTGTCTTGCCGATTCGTGGCCATTTTCATACCCAAACTGTATTTTGATTGAAGAATTTGTTGCTGTCTCTAAAGGTTATTGACTTTCTTTCCTCCTTTTTCCCAGAAAGTCTCGTTCTTTAATTTCAAAGTTCATGTCAACTATTGACTCTTGGTGATTTATGATTCTAAAAAACTTATAGATATGAGTGGGAGTACCAACTCTTTCTATATCCAAGCGAATAGTTCCAGAAAGATTGCTTATTATCATGCCATCGTTGTCAATGCGTGTTAAGAGCCTGAAATATGCTTTTGGATAGATTTCTTCTTTAAGAATGATTTGTAGAAACTGATTTTGCAGAACTAATTCAGCTTATTGAATTTGCCTCATATTGTTAACCTACTGGCATAGTTTCGTTAAAAATCTGAGCTACTTTAACCTTTTAACATTCCCCTTGTGCGGTAATCAAACCTATAGTTTTTTGGTGATGGTGATTAGCAAAAATAGGTGGGCGCGGTTAGTTTCCTCCATATTGTTTGCCCTTCCTGTCCGCATGCAAATTGCCGCTTTTTCCAGGTAAAAACTCTTACAGTTTACAGTCTAGTCTCTTACAGTTCCTTCTAAAAAAAGCATGCAGTACTTTTGTAGGACGACGATAATCAATATGTATACGTCGTAAAGCAGTCTAATAGGTCCATTAACAGTCTTTTACAGGATGACAGATATGCAACAATTAATTTTAGTCTTGTTATTCATGGCTCATCTTCTTGCTGTTGGTGACGCGGGGATAAGCGTAACCTGTAGGGGAAAGGATGCCAAGGTAACGTTACGAAAACCAGTGGAAAATCTTTCAACGGTACTGGGTCATCCCAAAAGATTTTTCGTTTCCGCATGCTGGACATTTGAAGGACATAGCTTCTTCTAGAGTCAATTTTCACTCTTAAAGCTTCATCGTGTTCGACATATCTCTGGCAATGTTCGCACTGCGTAAATACACTGTTAATATATTCGATGGAACCCCTCAAAGTCGAAGAAGGCGTTCTAGGTGTGGGTGCACCCTGAGAAAAAGACTGATGAGCGATGATACATGCAGCGCATGTGTTAACGCTTACTTTTTACTTTACTGAGATGGCCCGGCTTCACGTGACGTGCGGGCCCCAGCTCAGAAGTTTCCATTTTTCCCTGTCCCTCGCTTCTGACATCCACAATCTTCTTGGCTGACCTCGGTGGTTGCGTCCACGAGTTCCAGGTGCAAAAATCGTATCCATCTGATTTCTCAGCTGGTCCATCCGTTCCACGGACACGTCTGCCCATCTCGTTGGTGGTCTTCCCCGGGGACGTTTTGCTTCGCGAGGAATCCACTACGATGTTCTTGTTCATCTGTCGTCCGTTCTTCTCATGATGTGACCGGCCCATCGATGCTTCGCTTTCGCAACGTAATCCGCTGGTTCACAAAGACGGGACATTCTCCTCATATCCGTACTGCGAAGTCCGACGAGATGTTGTTTGTGTCGGGTCATCTTCAGAAGACTACGCTCTAGCGCTCTGTGGGTGGTCCTTGAAGCTTTCGAAGTGGCGATGGTGTCAGCCCAAGTCTCAGCTGCGTAACAGAGCGCCGGGAGAACGGTTGAGTCGAAAAGGTGGGCGCGAAGCTTGGGTCCGTCAGTTGGTCGGTGGCTTCCTTCAGAGGCCCGAAGGCGGCCCAGGCTGCTCTTCTTCTCCTGTTAAGTTCTTCCCTCAAGTCGTTCTCCATGTTCATCGAACGTCCGAGATACACGTAAGAAGACGTCTCCGTGATAGGGGTGCCTTCCAATTTCATTTCTGCATCTTCGCAAAGGGCGTTCTTCATGAACTGAGTCTTCTTCCGATTGATTCGCAGTCCGATCTTCTTCCCTACTTCGTTTAGTTCCTTCAGCATCGCCTCTGCTTCAGTGATACTGCTCGAGAAAAGGACGATGTCATCTGCAAAACGAAGGTTGGATAGGAATCTCCCATCAACTCGTATGCCTCTCTCGTCCCAGTCCAGTGACTTCATCACCCATTGCAAGGCCGCGGTGAACAGCTTCGGCGAAATTGTGTCGCCTTGTCGAACCCCCTTCCCAATTGGGATGGTCAGGGAGCGATGGATTAGCTGCATCGTCGTTGTACAGTCCTTGTAACAGTCGGCTAACGTCCTCACGTAAGCTGGGTCCACTCCTTGATCGACTAGCGCAGACAGGATGGCGTTGGTTTCGACGCTGTCAAAGGCTTTCTCGTAGTCGACAAAGGTTAGGACGAGAGGCAGTCGGTATTCCCGGCAGACTTCTATGACCCTCGAAACCGTCTGGATGTGGTCCATGCAGCTGAATCCTTTGCGAAATCCAGCTTGTTCTTGGGGTTGGGCTTCATCCAGTGTCTTAGATATGCGAGCGAGGATAATCTTCGTGAAAAGCTTGTACAGCACACTCAGCAGGCATATTGGACGGTAGTTCCGAAGATTTTCCCGTTCACCCTTCTTGAAAAGAAGGACGGTTCTTGACGTTCTCCACTGGTCGGGAATCCTCTCCTTCTGAAGGTAAGTTGTTAGGTGCGACGCGAGGATCTCGTGTAGACGTTGTCCTCCAGCTCGCAGAAATTCAACGGAAAGATGGTCTGGTCCTGGAGCCGTGGACGTCTTCATGGTCTGAATCGCTGTGCGCACTTCCGCAGGTAGAATTCGTGGTGGTACTTCTCCAGTGGGAGCAACGGGCATCGGCACGGGTGTTGATGAGCGGAAGAGGTTGGTATAGAAGTTCTTCGCGATAGATTCCATCTCGTGTCGGGAAGAAGTCGGAGTCCCGTCTTCGTTCGATAGTGCAGCCAGCGGTACGCGATATTCACAGAGGTCCCTTCGGCACTTCTTGAGACTTCGTCTTCCTTCGGCTGCTTCCAGTATCTTGGCTTGCCTGTACTTCCTGAGATCCTCCTGCAAAGCCGTTCTGCAACTGGCGTTAGCTATCAGTCGCTCGAGATGGGTTGCATTCGGATCCTGCCTCAGAAATCTTCTTCTTTCAAGCATTTCCTTGGTGGTCTTCGAAATGCGTTCAACATTCTTCTCGGAAGTCACTGAAGCGCACTCTCCGCAGGCTCGCAATCCTTTCAGAAGCCGGTCGTAGTCGTACGTTGGGTCCTCCTCGATGGGCCAGTCACAACTTGATATGAGCTCCTCCAGCCTATTACCGTCATAAACGACATTCTTCCTTCTTGCGGCACTGTGGCAGACCTTCTTTTCCAGCCTTGGACTGAATCGTAGCTTCGCTCGAAGGAGGCGGTGATCGGAGCCACTGCAGAAGGTGGAACTACTGAGATATCGAGCAAGCTCCACCGTCGGTTGGTGAGAATGTGGTCGATCTCCGCGTGGGTCGTTCCGCTGGGCGATTCCCATGTCCACCGGCGATGTTCTTTCTTCATAAAGATGGAATTTCCATGGAAAAGTCGTGCGGCGGAGAGAAGCCCAACAAGACGGTTGCCGTTTTCGTTCCGGAGCCCATATCCAAACTTCCCAATCCTATACTCCTTTTCCAGTGGCATCCCGATTTTCGGTTAAAGTCGCCCACAACAAACTTATAAAAGGACTTCTCGTTGCGGACGACCTCCTCCACACCTTCGTAGAAAGCATCTAGTTCTGATCGTCAGCTGCTGATGTTGGAGAATAGCAGTTGACGATGCTGATGGTCGTCTGATGTGGAGGTCGAAGTCGTAGGATGCCTAGTCGAGGTGATAGGATCTCGTGCGAATCGACAAGATGGACGATAGATGGGTGGACGACAAAGCCGACGCCTTCCACGTTTCGTGATGGAACCTTTTCACCACGAATGATGAGGGTCCTATCACTCATCTGTCGCACGTCCTTCTTCCTGGACTTCGTTTCCTGCAGAGCGATGATGTAGTAGTTGATGTGCTCTGCAGCGTCGAGAAGAGCGTGGAGGTCGGCGTTTGTGGAGACTGTCCTGGCGTTGTAGGTGCAGAGCATGAGGCAGTCTCCATGGCGTGTCGTCCGGGCAGACGTGTCGTTTTTGTCCAATCCGAAAGGCGCCCTGAGTACCCTGACATCGTTCTTGCTACCACCCGGCGCCGTAGGCGGGATCCGATGTACAGGGTTTTTTCTAAATCTTTTTGCTGTCTGAGTAATAAAATTTGTCTCCTACAAGAGGTGGCTTACTAGGCCTACTCTTGATTTCCACGGGGCGATCGCTGGCCCCGGGCTTGGAGCGGGGAGGGACCGCCTAGCGACCAGAAGAAGCCAGACGGCGGAGGATCTGGCGTGGCCAGTTTTTAGCTAGGCATCCGGTCGATACCGGAAACGTCGAACTCCTTCACAGCTTGAGAGGCCCTACCAGATATACACTCGGCTGTGCATCGCAGTTCGCCAGTGTCCCCCACCCCCACGCCACGATGAGGCGACCGACCATTGTGGGGGTGTTAACGCTTAACAGCATCAAAAATGCGTAAAAATTAATTCTTACGTGCAATCAGGTTTAAGCTTGAGAGCGACAACAGAAAAAGATGCGATTAACAAAATTTCGCATTTTACATCTGATGTTTGTAACCGCACAAACTTCCTTGAGAATCATTCTCTCCTCATCCTTCTATGAAACGAAATTTTTTTAGGATGACCGAATATATGGCCGTCTTGTTGAGGCTTTATCTGCACTCAATACAGGCATCTCAAAGATAGTGTCACAGCTTTCTGCTCCTATCCGCACTCTAGCCTTGCACCGCTTCCGCAGACGCATACCTTCGATAGTCTAGAGACAGGACCGCAAAAGTGAAGGTTGTTTGATTATCTGCCCTCATAATAAGTGAAGGTTGTTCACATAAAACCAGAGAAGAAAAAATGTGCAAAACAATTGAAAAAAGCAAAAGAAACTTTTAAAAATCGGATAAAAACGCTGCAATAAGTTTACAACCTTTCATTTGGCGGCGTTGCAGGTTTTCGCTCCAGGACCACGTAATCCACAGCACGGGGAAAACAAGGAAAAGCTAGTTTTTTTGTGTTTACTTCAAAACCAACCATGTTTCGGAAGTAACGATTACCGATTAGAGAAGGTAAACGAGAAAAGATTTAGTTTTGAAAACACAGAGTATTGTTTACAACAAGTTGAAATGCGCATCGAAGCCGACCTAGTTTTTGGTCCTTTGAATTTTTACCTACGCGTTGTGATTCCCTTTTTCTAAGACGTTGTCTGTATTGTTGGGCTCATGGTTCTGAGCGATAATCGTCCAAGCTGGAAAAAAATCATTGCGAAAGCACTGAGACAGAACAAGGTAGAGAAAAACACACATTTTACGATTTTTCACAAAAAATTCTGCTTTAATCGAAGAGATAAGGGCTGGACGGTTGTCTGCGTTATGAACAGAAGAGAGATCCAACGAATCCACGAAAAAACCGCGTGAAAAGAGTTAAACTAGAAGAAAAGAAGGGATTTTCGAAAACAAGATTTTTGGCGGATTTCTCAGTCAAATCAAAAAAGTGGTTTTGAGACGTTGTTAGCGTGAAATTAGAGATCAAGAGCTTCAAAATGATAGTTAGCTTGCTACAATTCGGTTCGAAACAACGATAAAAAGGGTACCAAAGTCAAATGCCCCGCGCCTCGTGTTTGAAATAGCGAGGTAGCGCGCAGCGCTCGGAGACGCAGACGAGCAGCGGCGACAAACCAGAGCCGGCGGGCATTTGACTTTGGTCAAAGATCTCTGCGGGGTCTCAACAAAACCCCGCAACATTATATATCATTCTGATCGCCGTGTCACGATGAGGTGATAACATCTCAAACGTTGAAATTCACTCACTAACGAAATAGACGAGCATTTTCGTGCGCCAGTTTCTGCGCAAGATTTAAGAGCAGTTCCTCGTTTTCTTTAACTCCAACAACTTCCCCAAATTTCTGAAGTTTTAGTCAAATAAGAGGTCAAGTGAAAAAGGTTGCCTCATATCTGTTTCATTTACATTCATTCCGATATAGTCAGGTTACGATTACAAAATCCGGGGCGAAGCCCCGGATGACTTTTGCTTTTTTTTAGATGAAGGTTGTGTTCTATCACGGCGCTCAAAGCGAAGGTTACCAGATTACATGGTTCTATGTATTGAGTATGCGCGGACGAATCCTCTGGCATTTTCTAAAATAACTGAAATCCTGGAGAATGCGTTATGATGCGCTTGCGAGCAAGACTAAGATGGGCGTTGAAGCTGTGATGCTTTGGCGAGACTATTTTGTCTCCTTTTGCTCTTTACTCCCTAGACTTTTTGCCTAATTTGTTTGACGCCAACAAGTAGATATACAGTTTGTAGAAAGTCTTGAGGTCAAAAATCATGCTTGAGAAAGCACCGCAATAATTATTTTTAGTCGTGCCAAGAGACGCCGACAGGGACGTATGCACGTCCGCAAAGCGAGGTATGGTAGTCTGATGGTAAGAGACTTTACAGTCTTTCTGTGTAGTCCAAAGCTGAGCAGTTCGTCTCGAGTTATCAATGAATCTACCTTTACAAGTTATTGTAAATGATATAATGAAAATGAATGTGCCTACTTAGATTGGAGATTCAACACCAAGTATTGCAACGGCAGCTCAGCCACGAAATCATGCAGGGTATGACCATCAATCTTACACTCGACCCCCGTTACTGCCGCCATCGTATCAACCTCCTCCCCCGCCACCGCCACCACCGCCACCACCGCCATTACCTTCAACAACAACAACCACTACTACTACGCATATTCCCTATATCACCTTGGGACCTTGGGAATGCAAAATTTCTACTAAGGAAGAGAGAGCTAAGCTATTCGAAGAAATGGGCAGCCTCAATCAGATTTTTATGGCAGATGTGAGTTTTGATAATCACTATATTCAAATTTTCAAACCAGGATCTGTTCTATGCTTTGAAAATGGATACTATACTTATCATCAAGTTGTACATATAAAACAAAATAGACATAAAAAACCCAGAAATTCATGGAATATATAAATAAAAGCCGTGGTCGACTTTTTGCGAGTAAGCTGAATTCCAACTGGATACTAACTGAGTTAGAGCCAATTTTTATTTAGTATTTCGTACTTTTTTACACAAGTTGTACCTTCACTTCACAAGCTTTCTTACAAACAAAAAAAGTTCGTAATGTTTCCTGTGGGTTTTTAATGACCTTAATATCACTGGCGGCGCATCTGCTGATAGCAAAAGTACCCTTGCAACCAGGTTCAGTGTTGAGCAAACTAGAATTAGAACTTCGCTTTTGTTATACATTTCTGTCATCACTCAGGAGAGGAAAAGGAGGAGATGGATGTGTTAGGGATGGGGGGGAGAAGAATTGGAAAGTGGGGACCAATGTGGGGGGAGAGGGGGGAGGAGATGCCGGAACAGTAGTGTTCAGGCTCCGACTATGAAGTAAAACGACGTAGGCGCATGATGCATAGTGTACGGTGGACCGAACGAACTGATATTCGAGTAATCGAACAAAGGATTTGAGTGAATTTTATTCAAAATTCGATTATTCCGAAAATCTAAAATTGCAATTATTAGGTTGAACCGAAAGTTCGTTCGCACCATTTTCAAAAAATCATAACTTCTTTCCATCAGGACGATTTTGCGCAAATCAAATTTCCTCTGAAAGCGTAAAGCATGTAGTTTCCAAAAGTCCCCTGGTGACTTTCCAACATGCTCAGGTTGCAGAGATAAAAATGAAAGAATGTTATCACCCGAAAATCGGAATTTTTAGGCAGAAATTCTAAAAATTCAGAAACTGTGCGATAAAATCCAGAAAAGCCATTATCCTGATTTTTCTTATATTTGATTACTAAGTGAGTCAAGTTTGTGCTGATCGAGGTCTTTTTTCAGAAGTTATGATTTTTTGAAAAAAAAGCCGAAAAATCGATTTCTTAAGAATCCTTATTAATTTGATTTTTCGGCAATTTTTTTCAAAAATTCATAACTTTTAAAAGAAGGGCTCGATCAGCACAAACTTAACTCAGAGTAATCAAATATAAGAAAAATTAGGATAATGGCTTTTCTGGATTTTATCGCACAGTTTCTGAATTTCTAGAATTTTTGCTTAAAAATTCCGAATTTCGAATGATCTCGTTCTTTCATTTTTATCTCTGCAACCTGAGCATGTTGGAAAGTTTCCAAAGGACTTTTGGAAACTGCATGCTTTACTTTTTTCAGTAAAATTTGAAATGCGCAAAATCGTTGTGACGGAAAGAAGTTATGATTTTTTGAAAATGGTGCGAACGAACTTTCGGTTCAACCTAATATATTCGATATTTGCTTATTCGAAAGTCATTTATTTATTTATTTATTTATTTATGTAGTGCACTCAGTGAAAGAAGTTATGATTTTTTGAAAGTGGTGCGAACGAACTTTCGGTTCAACCTAATATATTCGATATTTGCTTATTCGAAAGTCATTTATTTATTTATTTATTTATTTATGTAGTGCACTCAGTGGTGCGCCGAAGAACAAGCACAACGAAGTAAATTCTCGATCTGACGTAAGAATTAGGCATGCATATGCGCAGTTTCCGCCTTGAAATACAGTCTCCTCAGGGTGGTCAGGTCGTTCTCCTAGTATGGGAGGTGAGATCTTCGACCGAAACCCCTATCCCTGATCCGAACGCATGGAAGCAGCAGTTTACCAGGGCTTGAGTGTTCAACTTAACTCGAGACAGACGAGTCCGTTCGAGACCCTGGGCGACGGACAAGGAGGATCTCAAGGTGTAGAAGAGTCACCAGACCTCGAAATCCTCGAACGGCTATTCCCGTTTTGGAGAGAGGAAGTAAGCAAAAAATGCGGAAACTAAGACAATCTCGAATGAGACTAAAGGTGTAGAGAATGAACAAGAATACCAAAAACACAAAGAACAGAAAAAATATTTTTTCACAGAGTAGCAAGGAGTCGTTCACGCATTAATGGAGGCAGAAATGAGGCAAGATCTGGTACTGGTAAGGCGAATGCTGGTCGGCGACATCTGCGTGTTGATACTCTAAACGTCTGGAATACACAAAGTTTGTAGAACATCAATTTGTGCCAACTTTCTGCGAAAAATTGATGAGTTACTGCTGGAAGTGATCTCATCAGGTAGAAGAGTGAGCCATCTCGATGTTCGAAACATAAATGAATTAAATGCTATAGAAAAATTTCTACGTCGAAGGTTTCGACAGCTCATATGAAACCCACCTGCTCGAGTACTGTGTGGTCTAAAAATCCAGTACCTGCTCGGCCTCAATTTGGTCTCTAATCGTATCAAGCGAAAGCAGAACACTAGATCATTAAAAATTCTCCTATATTTCAAACTTCTCAAGTTTAGAGCAGACAATCTTGAACTGTACGATGGTAAAGCCTTAGGGTAATCAGGATTTGGAAAACATTTGTAAAAAACTATTCGCGTAAAAGTTTTCTGCACTTTTTCGAGTAACTCTATATCTTTTTTCAAAAAAGGATTCCAAACCGGTGAAGCATATTCTAAATGCGGCAGAACATATGTTTTATACAGACTAACCAACAATGATGGGTCATTACAGTGGATATTTCGTAAAATCAGAAAAAGGCTTGACAAGGCTTTTTTGCTAACGGAGCAGTAATGCTGTGAGAATTTCAATTGGTCATCCACTAGAACACCAAGATCCTTGGTAGTGGAACAGCGTTCGAGTGGAATTCCGTCACAGACATAAGTTGGTGATTGGGAGTTGCCAAGGTGCATCATTTTTGATTTTTGGGCATTTACAGAAAAATTCCATGTTCTGCACCAAAAACTCCTGTTTTGTATCGAGGAAGAGATTGCTCTAAATGCTTCATCTTGCTTGCAGTTTTCGTAGCAAAAGTAGATTTTTATATCGTCTGCGAACATCTGAATCTTGAGTTCTGGATGAGTCGTGAGAAAAGTGGGCAAATCTGCTGTGTAAATTAGAAAAAGGAGCGGTGACAGTATGCCTCCTTGCGGTACTCCGCTCTTACAGTGGTGTCGCTCGGAATAAGAATTCCCAACGCGCACTATCATGCCACGTTCATGTAAGTAGGAGGTGAACCAAGACAAAAGTTGACCACGTATGCCATAGTTCTCAAGCTTTGCAAGTAGCTTACAATGATCGACCTTGTCGAAGGCTTTGGATAAATCAAAGAAGATTATATCGACTGATTTGCCACTGTTTAGAGCAATAATCCAGTCATAAACAGAATCGCATAGTAAAGCAGTAGTGGAACCACCGCGCAGGAAGCCATACTGGACCGCAGGAATAATTTTATTATCCTCAAACCATTTTAGAAGTTTGTCTTTGATAAGTTTTTCAAGTACTTTCCCAGAAGGAGCAGTGATACTTATGGGCCGAAAATGTGAGAGAGTACTGGGGTGGTCACGTTTAGGTATAGAGGTTATCAGTGCCTCTTTCCACAGACCAGGTACTTTCCCCTGTATCAGAGAAGCGCTAAAAATTAGTGAGAGCGGAAAACACAAGGCATTTGCACATTTACGGTAGACAATTGGAGGTATTCCATCATAAGAAATGCTCGTTTTTGTTTTTAATTTTTTCAAAATTTCGTACACTTTCATTGGATCGACAATCAGATCTGAACAAGTAGCTGTTACAAGAGGAATTGACTGAAAAGCAGCTGTGAGATCATTACTGGAATTTCCGGATTCAAAAAAATTGGCGAAATAGTTTGCCAGTGCTTCAGCTTTTTCTTTATTTCCCAAAAGTACGTTATCACGTTCATCACGAAAGTTGGGTAACATTTGTCTGCCCTTACTCTGATAACTGAGGTATCTATAGAGCTCTTTGACATTGCATTTAGAGAGACGCCTTTCACGATTGGCTAAATATTTTTTTCACGTGATAATTTACATCCTTGCAAACTTTCTTATACAGCTGATTGCTGAGTGGATCAGAGGTTTGGAAAAATAACTTATTTTTTTGTTCTAGAAGATTCTGAATATGAGGAGGGTAATGCTTCAATTTGCAATGATTGAAACGGAAAGGCACATAATCAGCAAAAATTCGGTATAGTATTGCGCAAAATTTTTGATAGAGGCAGTCTACAGATTCTTCATTTAACACATGAAACCAGTCAATGTTCAAAAGGGCTCTATTGATATCTAAGAATGTAGCGTTATTGAAATCAGGATAGGGAATAAAGATGTTGGCAGGAGACGTAAAAGTCGTTTCAAAACTCAGAATATTATGATCAGAACTGCCAAAGGGAGCAAGAGATGTGAGGTTGTGAACTTCAATATTTGATGAGAAGACTAAGTCAATAGCCGTCTTTCCTCTTGTGGGGAAATCAACATGCTGTTTGAGACCGCTATCAAGAAGAAATGAGTAGAGCCGAGAGTCACGAAGAAGAGTAGGAGACAACACATCGATGTTGAAATCTCCTAGCACAATTGTGCTACAAGGTTGAGCGCATAGATCGCATAAAGTGTCGGCCAACTTAGCGTCATCTCTTGCCGTAGAAGAAGGTGGTCGGTAGACCACAATCAACCTCAGACGTGACGAGGCAGAAGCGGACCAGACATCAACACATAAGAGATCAGATGTTAGACCGTTGGATAGAAAGACATGCTCTACAGCGAACTCTTCCCTAACGAAGATACAAACGCCACCGCCTTTGCAGCGAAGCCTGTCTAAGCGGTGAAAAGAGTACGGTAGATTCGAGATAATTTCAGGATCCTTAATTCTAGAAGTCAACCAGGTTTCCGTTACACATAAGAAATCAGGAGAATTTAGATTCAAAAAAGCGTGCAATAAAAACAATTTGTTGGCCATGCTGCGAGAGTTAAAGAAGAAGAAACGAAGGTTAGCGGTAGAACCGGGCGAACTTATGCGTTTCCCGAGAAACGATGCTTTGGCAGGTCTGAAGTTCGACATAGTTCCCCTTTGTAGACAACCCACTCTTTGGCGCTCTTACCTTTATTTCTTTCTCGCGCCTCTTGCCTCAGCGAGTACTCTTGTGCCCTTTCTGAAGCAGTCATGCTTCGACGAATGAAGACATTCCCAAGATGCGAATGTCGTAGACAATACCATTTTCGAATTTGTTCGATCGAACGGTCATTTAAAATACTGGTAGAAGAATATTTTTGAACTTGTAAATAATTAAAATAATTTTTAAAAATTTTTAAAAATTCAAATTAGCCTTGTAAAAAATTTTTTCAAGGGCGTGGCTGACGCCACGCCCCTTTTTTCCAGATTTTAGGGGTTGGGGATCCGCAAAAATTTTGAGAAGCACCCTTAAAATTTTTTCGGAGTGCGTGGCTAACGCCACGCACCTTCATTCGAAAAAAATTTTTGTCGCCCCCTCCCCCGAGCAGAAATCCGTTGCACGCCACTGGAGTTTGTGTATAGGATTGTGTGAGCGAGTATGCCGCGGAAATGGACAGGAAAAGTGAGCATGGGAATAGACAGAATAAGTGAGCTTACAGGGGAATGGTCAGAAGTCGAAGTGGCCAATCCAAACAAGCTGCATACCGTTCGATGCAGCATAGAACGCTGATTTCAAATCTATCTTCCATATGTGCAGAGCGCCTTTACAGGCGAATTTATGAGCAGCTTTACTGCGAAAAATCGTACACAAAAGTTGCGAAATTAGGCATATTATTACTCTTTTAGCTCACCTCTAGATACGATCCATATGAAGTGACCTATTCGCATGTTTTGGTTCAACACTGAGCCGTGAATGGCTTTGTACGGCCAAGTTTGCCATTTACACGCACAATTTCTTAGCAAAATAATGGCGTTTAACGGTTTATAAGTCTGTCCACAAAAGTGCTCTGCAGATAAGGAAGATAGATTTGGAGTCAGCGTTCTATGCTGCATCTAATGATAAGCAGTTTGTTTGATTTGGCCACTTCGATTTCTGACCATTCCCTTGTTAGGTTACACATGACGATTGCTCTTAGCAATGGTAACGATTTCTTGCAAATTTCGCAACGTAGGTGTCTGTGGGCGCAGGTAAGCATGTTACCTCAGCTGCTCCGCTTTCAATTGTGAAAATAGCGAACTGGTTTGTGTGGATAAATTGGGGAGTTTCATTGTGATAAGTATACGTAATTTCTAATATTCGAATACATTCGAGAATTCGAATATTTATTAGGTTGGTACAAAAGTTCTCTTTCACTTTCAACCTGTAACTTCGCGCTATCTCAATGGATTTGCTTTTCTTAATTTCATTGAAAAAAAACAGTCGGTCGTTTCGAATACTTTATTTCTCAGCTTCTGTTTCCCATTGACGGCAGAGACAAAAATGGAAAAGGAAGACCATACAAGATTTGATTATTTCTAGACGAGATCGTCAGTGCATGAGTTTTTTAGCCTACTCTTTGCAAACGAAAAAAGTTCGTGTTGTTTTGACGTTTCTGTGAGAAGTTATGGTTTTTGAGAACATAAATCAATAAATTTTGGCCAATTCTATAGCAAACTTAAAATTCTTAAATTTTCACAGAGAATCCGAACAGCACAAGCTTTTCGTGATCGCAAAGAGAAGGTCATAAACTTAGAAACTGAAGATTTCGGATTTTTCTGCAACGTTTCAGATTTTTGGCGGCCTAACTCAGGATGATCGAAGCTTGAATCATCTTCTTCATCCAATTTTATCTCTGCTGTCAGTGTTCAGAGGCCGTATTCATCATTGATACCTTGAGGTAAATCATTCTTCCAGGTAGTTTTATCACTCATTGTCATATAATTTCATCACTGATAATGAGTGATAAAACTACCTGGAAGTAGAGACTTTACCTCAAGGTATCAATGATGAATACGGCCTCAGGAGAAACTCGCTGAAGGCTTCTTCTTTCTAATGAAATTCAATTTGAGGTAGTGGTTGGCTTCCACTGTTTCTCAAAGACTCAACATGGGTGATCTATGATGGGTTTTTTTTGAACTTTTTTTTTTTCAAATGGGGTTGGCAATCCTCTCAATGCATCTTGTGCAACCTTTGCATCCTCGTATCGCAAATCATTTCATCTTCAAAAACTTACTGCAGTTCACAAAAAAAACATTTTTTTTTCTAATTTTATGAATTTGACCAGGCAATCCTCATTTCCAAGACCATTGATTTGCCAAAAATGAACAGGATTAATCAAATCTACTTATGCCGTATTTATTTGTACTCATTTTTCTGCTGCTAGTTTCTGCCAGAACTTTCAAGTCCGAATTCCCAAATTAAAAGAGATTTTCTAACATAAGAGAGGCTGCTATTCATTAGATTAGTCCGATATCTCAGCTCGTTTCGGACCCACACTTTTCACTGAAATCAATGTTTGATTTGTAATAGCGAAAAATTGAGGAAATCAGAAGATAATTTTTGCCTCTCAATCATATCAACCTTCAAAAGTGCACCATCCAAAAAAAAATTTTCTAACAGTACCGTTTAGTAACATTAACCTTCAGAAAAGCAAAATGCAAAAAAAAATTTTTTTTGGTGCGCTGATTAAGAAGCACTATGGAAAAATTGCGTCTCTCTGCTTCTAAAAGTTGAAAATGCATTTGTATATCAGTCCATCAGTTTCAACACTTTAGTGTAGTGATAAAGTTAAGGCAATTTATGAGAAAATTCGGTTCACTGTTTTTGTCTTCTCAGTTTGCCTGAGTTTTGTAGAATCCAATGGAACAGATCAATCATCAAAATCTCTAGCGCTCCATTTCTTGAAATAAGGTTCAACGCTTTAATGTTCCTAGATTCATGTTGAAAAAGAACCCCGAGGTGTTTCCTCTTGAGTTGCCCACACGATAGTTTCCGAAAATTTCATGTTTTTGTTGCCTTGATTTTTTTTGAGTGTTGTTACGGCGAATCTTCAAAACTTCAAAATTTTGAACATTCTGTCACATCGATATTGATTTGCATTTGAAATCGTTGTTTGCAACTTTTTTGATATTGATATAATTCTTCAAACAGTAATCCCATCGCCACCCAGCAGACTTTTACCTATATCCCAATTCGACTTTTGAATTATCCCGATTATGCCGCTCCTACCATGTTGTTTTATCCTCATCCCAAGCATTGCCATACTCGTCCCTTCAGCTCGAATAGAGCCCATCCATCAATGATGTATTAATATCATCATTATTGAACCCATCCTCCTCTCCGAAAAATTGCGGAAGCCCTACCCGCACACAATTTCTATCATTATTCAACTTCCACGTTTATTTTGCTCCGCTTAATTCTAGCTCGAGACGAGCTCTTCTTTTGACAGGGCGTGCGAAAGCCGTTTTTTTCTATGAGCCCTTTTCCCCCTGTCCACATGCATTCGAAGAGCAATCAAACGACCGAGCAATGATGCGATCAACAGCACTTTTCCTGCCCGCGGTCAGTGACAACAAATGGTAAATGGGCAACCTTGATGAGGATAATGGTAGCAGCAGCAATCTCCTGCTCTCAAACGAAACAGTGATGAAACAAATGGTACATGGGCAGCTTTGATGGCGACAATATCCCCACTACTAAGCCAGGGTCAAAGATGAAAGCTCGGGACGAGCTTTACTATGGAATGGACATGTCGAGACGCAGACTAACTAGATGGTCCGACAGTCCCCACGCCAACTGGGCGGTGCCCAGCAACTCCAGATGAGCTGTGCCTAACCGGGTGACCGGCGGTTTCCCTTCCCCTCTCATTCTATTTATAAATATATAATAAAGATTCTAGTCATAATGTTATGTTCATATAAAGTAAGACAACCAGGGTGAAGGATTCAAGTCAGGAGAGTGCACCTCCTGGACTTGACAGTTTAATACAGGTTTCATACGGCTTCATGTTTGCCAAAAAACCGTGAAACCTCGATTTTCAACAGTTTTCAAAAAATGCTTAGATTTTTTGTACTACGTTATCAAAAATCAAACGGTTTGCGCAGACTTCCAGCTTACATCACAGTCTACATGACGTCACAAAATGAGATTGCTACATAAAATAAGAGAAAAGTTATAGGAAAAGTTGCAAAATTATGTGCCACCTTTTATATTTATGTGGTTGTCTAATATGATCTATGCGCTTTGAAACGAAGTTACAAGAGTTGTTTTTCCAATTCTTTAAGCATTCGAAAGTTCTCGGTTTTGGCTTCAAATCTGCAGCGGCTCAAAACTGGAAAACTTTTTCACAGCATCTAGTGCCATTTCAAATGCGGTTAGACTTATGTAACAATCTAATAGCTTCTAGCCTCTGAACACTATTATTGGTGGATGAAATCTCTCTTGTGCCTTCCTGCTGTTCCTTATTTGTTGAGTAAACATTGGACGATTCAGACAGCTGAAGAAGCAGCACTAAATTTCGCGCCTGTCTTTGAGAAACTAAAAGGAGCAGGATTTGACGGTGGCCGAGTGCGGTTTTGGTTCAGGTATTGAAATGACGGTACCACCTTTATAATATCTATTCAGCCATACCCTGAGGACATCCACATCATAGATGGTGGCATTCGACGAACTTGCAGCAACGAATGCCAGATTATCTTGCGTGCATTGAGGGCCTCCGAAAAAGGAACAGCATCAATCAGGCACCAACGATCATTGGTCTGAAAAGGTTTGCCGAGAATACGTGGCAAGCACTATATTACCAGGGCTCTTTGCCGCTCCATGGTCAGGAACGAGGGAGAAATAAGAGGGACCATCACGAACACCACCATTTCCCCGATCGTCCACTCGCTCCTGGAAAGATTTCACATGCCAATTGCACACTGGGTTGGGCTTAATTCGTATTCTCTAGGTATGGGGTCCGATACTACAAGTGATTCAGAAATCGAATATGAGGTATGTGCTGTGGCAGGTACTGAAGAAAGTCCGGGTTTACAACGTCTATGCACAAGTACTGTTCATTGATAGATCTCAATATTACCAACAAGCTATACTTCTAGAGTGCCAGCGCATCTACAAAGTTAGTCCAAATTGTTTTCCGAGACTTGTGAATGTAGCAACATGCAGCGGTCCAGCGACATGCATATTCGATGAAGGTAGTGCAAAACTCTTTGCTCCGGTGATGTATTGTCTTTAAATATCCAATATCAAAAGGTCGTCCCCAAGGCACTGGAGAACCAGAGGTGTTGCCCATGAATTTATTACGAAACATTGGAAATGAAACATGTCATCAGCTCCGACCCGCACCTTTTAAGGTATGTGCTATGATTCATCCTTGTGATTGTTACAGCAATCAATGTACATGAAGGGTGCTATAGAACGAAGTCGCAGAAGCAGAATGAGTTGAGCGGGCGCGGACTCGGCGGGCGCGTATCTTAGCATGTCGAAATATCCCACTATTCTGGAAAAGCCTGAGGCGCTGCTTAGCTATCTACGGACCCTCTTCCAGATTTGACGCATTCAACTTGTTTAACTCTTCATCTAACAAGGAAAGCATATTGACTTGGATTCGCCTTCTGAGATGAGAACATGATTGGAATCACTTTCAAACGCTGATTCCAAATTTATTGTTTCTAGCTGTTCAGCAAGCCATTCTGAAGCTAGTTATGGGCTTGCTATTGTGAGTAATTGACATTTATGCTTCTGAATATGGTAAGACGGTCTGTAGATAGAAATCCTCTTGACAGGAGTGTTGGGATGTCGAAATAGCATCAGATTAATTCTTTAGATCTTAAAAGGGTGTATTATGCAATTGCAAAACCACTTAGACGTTTACACCGTAGCATAAGTCGATGAGTACGCAAATTTTGCGCGGAAAAGGACCATAAATCGCTTCAGAATGATGACCAGTAGCTAGGAACAGCATATTTCGAATCAGCGTTTCAAGCTGATTTTGGATAAGTATACAAGGTGTCCCAAAAAGATGTTGCCTACTGTTTTATTGTTAATAACTCCGTAATGAAGTGTTTCGAGAAGCTTTAAATACCATTTTGTAGAACGAGCTTGAACTTAGATTTACAGTATGGAGCGAATCATCGATCACTCTTCATTACTGTAGAATTACGGTACGAACTTTGACAAGGATTTTAGGCCATTAGAGGCTATATTCTGCCTCGGAACAAAACCAAACAAGCCAAAAACTCTTGTGCTACGGTAATGGGAGCCGCTCATTTCGAATTTGAAAATCCCATTTTACTATGATGCTTATTTCCTAAGTTATCCCCGGTAAACCGTAATAACTCAAATTCCAGCGTTTGTCAGAAATGTAACAACACCGTCAAAAAAGCAGAAAACACTCGTAAAAAATCGTTAGGTGGAATCAGCATGCGCGGAAACCTTGATACACGTTGTTTCAGATTTTTTGAAAATAATTTTGTTAGGTGGTATATTTCATAATGGTTCCATATGCTGGAAGTTCTCACCGTAATCCTACAGTAATGAAGGGTGATAGATGATTCGCTTCACTGTAAATCTAAGTTTAACCTCGCTCTACAAAATGGTATCTAAAGCTTCTCGAAAGACTTCATTGTAAGAGAGTTTAAGAATCAAACAGTAGGCACATTTTTTTGGGACACCTTGTATGTGTTCACTTCAAAAGGTTAATCTTTGTTAGTATTCCTCCATTATTAAATCGCTGATAAATGTAGCAATGAAATCGCGCAGGCTACTCAAGTTTGCAAATGAGTCCGATGTATCACAGTGAGCTTACACGCCGCTCAGCTGCTTCACTGTGTTTCGGAAAACCCTTATGTGGCAAGATTCTCTTAAGAACTGTATAGGGTCCTTTGGTAGCGAAACCCTTTGGCGTGTTTGGGCTTTTCTATTTCAGAAAAAGCGCTTTTACTCGTGGTTTTAGGGTACATACTTACTTGCCGTTTCAAAGAACTTAATTTGCAAAACGATTGGTTCTGCCTTTCTTAATTTCGTGCTCTGCTGACTACCAGTGGCGGTCGCAGAGATTCCGTCCGGGGAAGGGGGCAGAAATTCTTTCCAAATAAAGGTGCTTGGCCTTAGTCATGCACTCCGAAAAATTTTTGGGATGCTTCTCATAATTGCGGGCCCATAAGCCCCAAAACTAGAAAAGGGAGCTTGAATTTTTTTTGAAAATTTTGAAAATTATCTTAATTATTCGCAAGAATAAACAAGCACTTACCATTTTTATAACCCATATGAGTGAATTTCACAAATTCCGCGACCTTTCTGCTCCCCCCCCCCCCTTGTCGGTTCGCCAATGCTGGCTACAGATGTATTAGGCTGTACCAAAAGTCAGTTCGCACCATATTCAAAAATTCATAACCCCTGCTTTTTTCAACCGATTTGCGTGTTTTCATTTTTGTCTGAAAGAGCAAGTCAATCTCTTCATAACATTATCTTAGCGGCATTTTATGCTAGAAGCAAATAAAGAATATTTCTTTAGTGAGCGTACTCAAAGAAGCCTGGAAATGTCACAAAAAATACGGGATTGTCATGGACATGGGTTTTGTGACCTTCTTTTTTTTAGCTGAGCAAGTTTCGAGCTAATCGAGAGCATTTTGATTTTCGTGAAAAACGCACTTTTGAAAATCCGAAAAAATCACGAAAATCAAAATTGCTCTCGATTAGCTCAAAACTCGCTCAGCTAGAAAGAGAAGGTCACAAAACCCATGTCCATGACAATCCCGTATTTTCTGTGACATTTCCAGACTTCTTTGAGTACGCTCAAAAATTGCAAAATCAAAGAAATTTTCTTTATTTGCTTCTAGCTCTTGATATTTTCAGCTTCAGTACATGGAAAGGTACCACTGTAATATGCAAAATTTTCTTTATCAAATAAAAATAGTTCCAGAATTTTTCGTGACCCAAGTTGAAAAATGCCGATCTTGACTGATTTCAATTGCCTCTAGCTTTGGAACTCTTTAATGCCGCATTATATCAAAGAAGCCGTTGTAAAGAGAAATGCCTTTTCTTCCAAACAAAGTGAAATCCAAGAAAATCCATCGAGTGTCAAGGAAGTTACGATTTTTTGAAAATCCGGCGCAAGAACTTCTGGGACGACCTTATCAAAATTGCTTTTTTGTATTGCTTGCTCGTCATAACTTTTGATAGAAAGTTCAATCAGCACAGGCCTTGCATAGTTAGGAGCAAGTAATAGAATATAATATCAACTGCTCGGATTTTTATTACGAGTTTTGGATTTTTCATGACCCTACACAGAAAATTCGAATTCTGACTAATTTTCTTCTACCGCTCCTATCTGTGCAACATGATCATTACTAAGCATCTGAGATGTCATCATAAAGAGCATGACTTACCCTTTTACACAAAAATAAAGGCGATTCAATCGGTTCAAAAAATCAGAATTATGAATTTTTGAATTTGGGCGAACGAACTTTCGGTACAACCTAATATGTTCTGTGTTTTTGGCAGTGTAGGAACATTAAGCAGAAATGAGAAATTGGAAGGAGCGCTGTCAATTTTTAGATTCGGCGGTATATGGGATATGAATGTTCATTAAAGTCTAGACTGAAATTGGGAAGTTAGTGGAATTTTGAGCATTAATGAGATGATGAATGAAAAATTATATTAGCAGTTGGAGGGGACATTGCATCAAATACAAGTTTTGATGCTTCACAGCCGGCCTCGTCTCCACAAGAACTTGTGACCGTTCAAAAGAAAAGCGAATAAGCATTTTTCCGACCCTCTAGTAATAGAACGTGGGTATAGCTGCGGGGTTTTTCTTGTATTTTTACAGACAAAAACTGCCAGTAGCGCCATTTACGACAGTCACCACTTCCAAATTGCTTGATTATCTTGTTTAAGACGAAAAACTAACAAATAGAATTTTCTTCTGACAAATGAAGGTAGCCTAGATTGCGTCTTGAGATGAGACACATATATCTGAAATCAGCTTCGAAAGCTGATTCCAAAAGTGCTGTAATTAGCTGCGCTGCATTATTCCGAAGCGAGTAGCTTTTTCACACGAAATCGTCGTTATTTGACATGGGAGAGCTGCCTGTAGATGGTCCGCCTCAAAACGATGCTGGGGATACTAAAATAATTTCATATTAAGTCTTTTGTCAATCGCAAGAAACTTAACGCCGTAAATCAGTACTTAGATGATGATACGTAATGGCAGTAGGTCAAAGATGCAAAAAATCGATAACTCGCTTCACAAAATATGCCGCAGCTAGGAGAAGCATGGTTGGAATCAATCGATCGCGCGAAGCTGATCCCAAATATATGTGTCTCACATCAAAACGCAATTCATTTTTTTGACACATTTAAGTAACTTTCAAAAATTTCTCGCCCCCCCCCCCGCCCCGCCCCGCCCCTCGGTACGCCATTGGTGTACGGAGATATAATAGATAAGAAAAGCGGTCGTATTCCAAAGTCAATCAGATGCCACGCCTGTTGCTAGACTCACACTGCTTCATAATTTGTCAACATGCAGCAGCTTTTGTCACTAATAAAAATGGCGTGCTTACAAGGGAATCTTGTGTAATCGAAGCGGCCTCTTTAGATGATATGTATACCATAATGGAAAACATAAAACGCTGATTTCAAATCTGCCTTCCTTATCTGCGGAACATTTGTGGGCGAGGAGTTAAAAGCATTTTTCGGAACAAAGAAGTGAATGTGCTTTTGGAATAAAATGAGTTGCTAAAATCTTCCTAGCCCTCACATATAGCAAGCAAGTACGATATATCATATCTCCTATCCAAGGGTATTTATTGAATGAGGTGCTCCTGATAATCATAATTGCTCCACTGAAGCTCTAGTAAGAAAATTATGACCATTTTTATCTACTTGCACATGTTTTTCCCCAATAAAAGCTCATAACTCCAACTCCACAAAAGTTCCGCAGATAAGGAAGGCAGATTTGGAATCAGCGTTTTATGCTCTCCATTTGGTTTATACAACCAAGAAGTTACTTCAATTAAGCAAGGTTCCCTTGTTAGCAGTCCGCAAGCTTGCCTTGAAGACTCACAGACCAGTAACCAGTCATAGAATCCAGTGTGCCTCTGTACCTTTCTTCTTTGTTTTCAGTTACCAATTGCTTGCCAATGCTTGCTCTCCAGGCATTCAGACTTGCAAGTATCCCCGTAGCTCCATAGCTCCGATAAGCTGCATCCAAAGACAACGACGTGCTTTCCACACATTATTCGAAGCTATAACATAGTAAATTGGAAAATAAACTATTTTTGTTGATGGTTTTGTACTTCATTGCAGCTCTGAACACTGATGGTTTTACCTCAAGTTTTGCACCTATAAACTAGCGAAATATGTCAAATTAAAGGCTGTAATACTCTTCCCATCCTTCCCATCTTCCTTGCTTCATGTGTGCAAATCATCAATGTTCCCTTCAGCTAAATTGCTGCTTTTAAAGTAAATGATGGTATAGTTTGTGTCCGATCAGCTTTCCATCCATGCGTGCTCAGTGCACCGATCTGGTACTTTGCCAGATGCCTGAAAAAATAGCGGTCGGAATGTAATACCTAGTGCATAGCTTTTGAAGCTCTTGCATACATGTCAAATATTGCCCACACAAAATGCGACTACGGAGAGTCATGACTCATGAGCAATAGTTCCAATCCGAGTTCGCAAAAAGTATCTATGCCTAAGAACCTAAGAGAGCCAGTAGCAGGTTTGCTCATCTTAAAGCTTACATTTGAGTTTTTACATCTGAAACGGCTATTATTTTCAGAAATTGTGTACATATCATTCATCATGAAATTCCTCTGAGGTGGAGTGAATCTTCCGCTTCTCATTTACCCCAACCTCTTCAAAGGCAATACTTTGATACTCATAAGAGAAGCATTCGATGCACGCTACGTGTGCCTTTCGAGGCGACTCTTGAGAAGCTGGCTGGTAACACTGTATACTGGAGGGTACAAACTCACCCATTTAGACCTGTGCCAATATAGTGCGAGCAGAAGTGCACCTGCTTCAAAGATGGCCTTGTAAAATTAGAGGACAATGATTGAATTTTATGAAATGTGCGCATGTTGCCACCTACAAACCAATAGCTGGCAGCGCACAAATTTTCTGGTGGTATATGAAGCAAAGCGAATCCTCAAATCAAATGTGTTCATCCTCCTGGAGCAAGTTCGTCTATTTTCACGATTTCATTATTTACAAACTCAAAGTCAACAGATCTCGATTGGTAACAAACTCTTCATCATGATCCATCACTTTTATTAAAGCCTAGGTATAACTTCATGAGCTGAATACTAAAGAAAAAATTGGGGTAGAGTTCGTGCTTAGCTTTGTCATCGGAAAACTGCCCTTTGAAGTAAATTGCATCAACATTAAAAGGTAGGAGTCACTAAGGGCAAACGAATAAACCAGGTAATTCTAAAGCCAAGCCTTTGCCAGGAAACCAGCTACTTTAACCCTTTCGGACCTGGTGGTGGCAATTGCCACCATCAATTCAGAGATCTACTGTACTGGCGCAGGAACATCATTTCACTACTCATTGCTCTCAAACGCTTCATATAGCCTTTGCCTTCCAAATGTAGCTTTGAAACCGAGTGTTCATTTGCTTCTTTGTCAATAGTATGTACATTTCTGTAAACAAGTGGATTTCAACCAATCAATAATTTGCGCAGGCTTGAGCACCGTTTCAGTATCTCGTTTATTAGCCAAAAAATATTCACAATATTATTATAATGTTTTAGTACGATGCTGAGCAAATGTAACTGTTAACTGTTTGCGGGTCCACATGTATCGCGGGAGATTTGAAAATCCAAAATAAACGCAAAACCAAAAAATTGAAAAATCAAAAAGAAATAGTTCATAAGGTTAAGCAGACTCCAAACTCCGCTATAATGTTATTCATATGGTAACAAGTAAAAAACAATAGGAGAGAGGCTTCTCGGCTCACTCGCAAAAACTCAGGTCTGAAAGGGTTAAGGTAAACTTCGGGTGCTGATGGCTATAAAAAAATGAAGGTTTTGCCCCTCAGGATGTCATGAGGGTGGTAACTGCTATACTGATTCGGAAAAAAGTCGGGCATTTCCTTCGATCACTTAGCTTTTCATATATTAGATTGAACGGAAAATAATGGGACGCTTGATACTTATTACATCTCGAAATTTTGTTTCGAACACCAAGCAGGCTGCAACTCAAACGTCACTTCATAAGCGACCTTCGTCTACATGTCTGGCAACGCGTTAACGCTCCTTTCTTAGAACCATGAAGTGGTGATTAAAGAAGTAGCACAGCTTTACATCTCTTTGTCTGCGCGGCCACGACGGAGAGTCATAACGCAAATTAACATTTGATTCAACTGGCTTGGCACCGTTAGGGCGGGGTTTTGTGACCTAATTGAGGCCGCTCGCACCCGCGACGCACCTGCGTCTCTCTCGCCCGAGTGCTCTCTGATCATTGCCTAGCCTTAATTAGGTCACGAAGCCCCGCCTTTGCCGATGCCAAGCCAGTTGAATTAAATGGTACATACTATCCAAAAAAACTCTCCAAGCTCTTTCAAGTAGTACATCGAACCATGCAAAGGCTCTCTTTGTTTTCAGGCAAAGAAGGAAAGAATGCGAATTTCCGGAGCAATGAATAACCAACAAATGTCCAGATATTTTTCGAAGACGGACGGAAATAAGGTATACTACATGGATGTATAGGGTGTAAAGAGTCTATCAGATGGTAGCCAGAAGAATGTTTATTTGCGAGGAAGTAAATAGCACTTATCTTCTATCTCGAAATGGCTAATGGCCACATCTCCTCTTTTATGCTCTACACTATTGAGCCGTCGTAGGTTTAGTGACTGTCTTTTCACCCATTGCAGCAGTGATAATTCGGTCAGTCGCATGTGTTTCACTGCGCAGATAGTGCTCAAAGTTTATGAATTATGAGAGCTGGCTTCGCACTTCAGCAAGTATAGAAATTTTTCAGCATGTAAAGAGCCTTTTATAGATGTCGGCTGAAAAAAGAATAATGTGTTGCAGCGTGTATCAAGATCAGATCATTAAAACAGTTCTGTTTCTTGAGAAACCTGCAGTCAATCTTCAAGTGTCCCATTACTTTCCGTCCATCTAATGGTTCTCGCTTTGTTATGAGTGTACTGCAAGATTAACGAAACAAATGCTAGCCGCTTTTGCAAATGCATGGTGGTTCACTATTTGCCTTACAAATTTGCCAATTTGCCTCACGAAGTTTGCACTCAAAACATAGTAAAGAGATATGCTCAGACAATAAGTATAGTTTGGAGCTCGGCCATAAGTGCAATTTGGTAACGCCATTGAAGAAAAACATGAAATACACGACGTTTCACCTTTGATGGCATTTCACGGTAATGTAGCTTCACACCCCGTTTCACAGCAAACAAATCTTTATAATATCTATTCACCCAACTTTGTCATATCTTTGGGCGCCTGCGGTGAACGAGGCATAGTTTACCACTTATAAAGAAAGGTATTGACTTAGATTTGTCTTCTGGGGCGAAACACATATATTGGACTGCTGCATAAGTTCGGTCTGATTTTTTGTCTCATGTTTGAAGCAGCTGTCTTAAGAGAATTTCTAATGCTATACTATTTGTATAAATAGAAAGCGCTTTTCTTGCACTTTCTAGCACATAATAAATTTCAAAAAATTCCTCAGTCTAAAGATTCGGGCCTGAGATCTCCAGGTGGCCGAGATACGTTTTCACCAGGAAATATGTTTTTGCAGGAAAATAAGGTCAATCATTCAAGTCTTCAAATCAAGCCCTATTACTAATTGCGGAATAAGAGTGTAACAGACTATATGGCTACAGACTATATAAATAACAGACTAACAGACTAGTATATGCACAAGGTCAATTTCATGAAAAAAAAACGTCTTGTAATAAAACGTGTTGTCGAAGATCAATATTTTTTTGCATAAATGTTCCACAAACCAATACCTCTCTGCCAGTGGCGGTCCCAGGATTTCGGACCGGGGGGGGGGGGGCGACAAAAAATTTTTTCAAATGAAGGTGCGTGGCGTTAGCCACGCACTCCGAAAAATCTTTGGGGTGCTTCTCAGAATTTTTGCGGGCCCACACCCCCTAAAATCTGGAAAAAGGGGCATGGCATCAGCCACGCCCCCGGAAAAAATTATTTTATAAGGCTAATTTGATTTTTAAAAAATCTCAAAAATTATTTTGATTAATTACAAAAATGAACAAGTCGTTTGCACATTTTTATAACCCATATAGGTAAGTTTTAAAAATTTCGCGACCCATTCTCGGGGGGAGGGGGGCGCCCCCCCCCCCCTCGGTCCGCCACTGCTTTCTGCGAATAGAGGCATTCAATATGTCTGAAGTTGGAGGTGCTAGAGTAAAGCAAGAGCTAGCAGGGTCCATTCACCTAATTCCTTTTCACCGCTCGCGTCAAGTGTAAAATTATAATTTGTAAATAGGCAGGATACATGCACTGGAGCGAGGTTAAAAAGTGGCTTCTTTCGTTCGGCTAAAAAATCTACTTGCACTGGAGAACCTATGGGCCTTTCTAAACTGGAAAATAATACGAAAAACTTTCTGTTTATTTGTACTAACTTATATGCTTGTCAGTTCTCATAAGGGAGCATTGCCGTGTCAAAAAAGACAGATATGAAGAAAAACGCTGTGAACTTTTGAGTTCTTGCTTCTTCTTCAGGGTTCTTCGCAAGTCTTAATATTTCTCTGATTGCTAAAGAACTGATGAACACATAAAAACTAAGGTCATAGAAAAAACTGACTTTGAAACAAGTTATGCCATTTTGAATTCAAAACTTCAAATCGGATAGAATTTATGCAGCGGGCTGATATTTGGAATCAGCTTGAGAGGCTATTCTTGAGTATGCTGCTTTTAGGTAAGACTCACTCTGTAGCAAGTTATGAGCTTGCATTGTGGGTAATTGACGTACTTCTGAATATTCTAAAACGGCCTGTAGATAGGGATTTGCTCCGAAAAAGTGTCATGTTGAACTGGTATCAAACTAAATGTTTCGATCTTAAATAAGAGCATTGTGCAGTTTAAAACCACCTAGACGTTGACACAGTAGCGTCAGTAAGATGAGCACACAAGGGTTGGGCTAGATTGTGCAGCGTACCTGTGCAGACCTGGCCCCAAGTTTTGCTAAGTAAAGAGCCATAACTAGATTCAAATTGATGTCTAGCAGCTAGGAAGAGCAACATCTAATCAGGCAACTTCCAT